TGCTTTGACATCAAAATGTTCCAGCCCCCTTTGCAAGTGGCCAGAGTCTGAAGTTACCCGCACGGGCCAGATATTGTCTTGCAAGACTCTTGGTGCCTGCCTTGGACTTAGCTATAGTAAGACATGGGCTTGATCTTAACTAGGGGGATGACCAAGCTGGGAGGATCTATTTGCTGAGCCCTGGCTCAGGGTTTTGTTGCTGGCTTTGGAGATTAGTTTAATTTTCTCACATGACTTTGTTGATAGAAAACGTATGGTGACATTACAGAACGGCGCAAGCTGAGGGAGCAACTACACTGCAAGAACTTCACCTGGTACCTACAAACCATCTATCCGGAGATGTTCATCCCGGACTTGACTCCAACTTTTTATGGAGCAGTAAGTACGTGGGTGCCTGGAGCCACTCACTTGCTCTGATGGCCCCTCATTCCTTCTCTAGAAATAAGCTGCAGGAGGAAGATCCCCCGGAGGCTGGGCTTTGCTTTTGCCCTTAAACCATCAAGGAGGAGGGTGATGACAGAGACCCTGCCTTTCCAGTTCATCTGTGATGCTGATGAGCCACATCTGCTGCCAGTTGATGAGGCTCTTTCGAGCTCTGGCTAACAGTGAAAGGCAAGGCCGAGAGCCGGAATCCAGCAGAGCTGGTTTTGAGCAAGTTATGGGGGCCCTGAGGGGATGTCACGCTATGTTAAAATAGTCAAAATTGGTAAAAACTCGGGGAGAGTTCAGGTGGCCTTAGTGCTGTGAGCTCTGGGCATTGGCATGCACAAGGTGGAGCTAAAAGATCCAACAGGCTGAATTTTGCTGTACAGAGGGACGAGGCAGAGGGGGAATGAGTCAGACGCTCCAGAGAGAGTTAGCGTTTGCATCGCTGTCTGTTCAACTCCTAAATAGCTCTATAAGCTCCAAAGGGCAGTGATTTGTCCAAGATCACGTGCAGAGCTGGGGTCAGAGGGATGGGTTTGGACTCTGGGTCTCCGAGCTCCCAGGTGAGCAGCTCCAGTGCCCGGCTGGCCGCCGCAAACGCAGAGCGCTGGCTCTGTCCCGGCTTGTCTGCGCTCCTCGGCAGCCCGCGGAGAACCCTGTGGAGGAGGGAGCTACCCAGCAAAGCCTACCCTTTGACCCCCCACGACAGCCGATCTGTGTGCGCACAGCCCTTCTTCACCATGACAATGTTGTGAAACCAGTTTGCAGAGGTGTCAAACGCATTTGCACATTTTGGTGAAGCTCTGTGCTGGCTCCGGTCCGAGTCTTAACTCAGTTCTGTTTCCCAAAGCTTTGGCCAAGCAGCTCTACCTTTGACTTAAATAAATTGCACAAGCTATAGGAAGGCACATGGTGTGACAGGGAGGTGCTGGCATAGGCGTTGCTCACATCCTGGAAACAACTAGAGACCCGGACCCAGGGCTGAGTACTAGGAACATGTTTGTACAGTGATATTTAGGTGCCCTATGAACCCAGAACCAGCTGCTGGTCCCTGCCCAAGCAGGTGGCGAGTCCTGGCCCAAGGGATCCCAGACTTGAGCTTTCTGCTCTGGACTCTTTCCTGCAGATAAAAAACGAGGGGACAAAGAGCTGCCTGGATGTCGGTGAAAACAACCACGGTGGGAAACCGCTCATCATGTACCCATGCCATGGGATGGGAGGCAACCAGGTAGGCACCTGTGCGACCTGCTCGGCTCAGGAGAGGCCTGGAGGAGCCGCCTTCTATTGCTGGTCAGAGCTTGAATGACACACTTATCACTGGCTATTTCCCTTACTTTTTACTTTCTCTTGCACACCCCCTCACATTTTCCCCAAAATTTTTATCGGGACACGGGCTCTCGGGTCCAGAGCCTGGACAGCCGCATGCTTGGGGCAGCGTCAGGCTTGCCAGCGACATGCTGCAGCAGTGTGATATCTCCTCTCTGCTCTCCCTTCCCAGTACTTTGAGTACACGACCCAGAAGGATCTGCGGCACAACATCGGCAAACAGCTCTGCCTGCGGTCTGGCTTCGGGCCCGTGGAGCTGGGCGACTGCCAGTACAAAGGGAAGAACACGCGGGTGCCGGGGAACGAGGAGTGGGACCTGGCGCAGGTAAGGAGGGCGGAGACAGCGCCGGGGCCGGGTCTTTCCTTCTGCGATGCCTTGCAGTGAGTTTCTATGCTGAAAAGTCTTAGAGAAAGCAGGGAAAGAAGAGGGGCTGGGGCCCGTTCTCTGCTGTTTGCCTTCTCCCTGGCTTTTAAGTCGTCTTCCTGACTCTGCAAAACTGGGCGCATCCTGTCGCGTGCGTTGCATGGTGATGTGAGCTTGACGCTGTCTTTATTTTTTGGTAGGACCGTCTGATTAGAAACGCAGCCTCCAACATGTGTTTGACAGCAAAAGGGAAGCATCCATCAATGGCTCCCTGCAATCCACTGGATTCCCATCAGCAGTGGTTCTTTACTTAGCGGGAAAGCAGAGCAGCGCGAGTGAGACACGAGGCCCTGGCGATCCCAAACTACACTCAGGAAACCAGAATCCAAAACTGTCTTTTCTTTTTTCTTTTTTTTTTCTTTCCTCTTTAATTTAAAAGAAGCTAAAGCCTTAAAGATGCTGCAGTTCACATTTGCCTTGAATTCAGTCCTGTGCCTTTTGAGGACCAAATGTTGGAATATGCAGAGAAGATTATTGTTGTGGTCTCACCTTGTTCTGAAACAAAGCAAAAAATAATAAATAAACCAAAAACCCACTCCCACTTGCAGCCAACATGAGAACTCGTCCAAAGCTGAACAGCGTGGGCCTAGCCATGCCAGGGTGACTCAGGGACGACCGGCCCTGTTTCCTAGCCCCAGGGCAGCCTGGGGAACAGATCTCAACCAGCAGTAACACGAGGAGCCTGAAACGGAGACAGCAGCATCAGCTGGAAACCGTCGGTCGCTCGTTCTTCCCCGCGCAGACTCACTTCGACTCTGTGGGAAGCGGCTATGTGTGTTTTAAGAACCAGCCGTGCCGCACCGTGACATCGCGGCTGCCCCGCGTGTGAAACCCGGCCGGGAAACTCCTGCCAGCGAGATGGAGAGCGAGAACTGATTGCCTTGCAAATAAAAAGGGACTCGCTGCGCAGTTAATCCTACAAAGGGAGATAAATCATCGTTAGACTTGGCCCACGCACGGGGGAAGCCGGGCCGGTGGGGCCATGCAAACACCGTGGCCAGCCGTGCGAGCGCGCCGGCGGTAAACCGACACCGTGGCCTGGTGGGGCCAAGGGCTGAAGTTGCCCTTGGTTTTGGAAGAAGCCCCTTGGTTTTGGCAGGGTTCGAAATGTTTGTGTGGTTCGGTTTTGTCCTTAACGCTCACTCAGAAAGACAAGAGCACTGCTCGCTGGCTGGCCCGACCTCCCCTGGGCGGTGAGAGGGGACAACGCGCGTCCCCGTGACCCAAATTCGGGCAGTTCGCGAGGGGACCAAAGGGGCCGGCGTTCACGTTTTGGCTTTCGCGTGCGAGCTCTTTGGCTGGGACCGGCGGCCGTGCCGCGACAGCGTCTTCCCGGAAAGGGGGGCTTGGAGGAGCCCAACTGTAAAAACTCTGTGTGGTTTTTTTCTTCCCCTATTTTTGTTTAAACCTGACTACTGTAGTTTACACTGTTTGGTTTGCAAGTGATTTTTTTTTTTTCTATTTTGTTTTAGTTGTGGGGGGGAACAAACACTTCCTGGAGATGGGAAAGAAACCCGTCTTTGGATACGTGGAATAAAGAGATGCTCTATTTTACAAAAGTCCCAGCTCCAGCTGTGCTTCCTCGGCTGCAGGGGGACGGAGGTTTGCGCTGGTTCGCTGCCACCTCGGCAGCTTCTCCGCTGCCCCGGGCCGGGCTTTGGTATCGTGGTAGAAGGATGAACCATGAAAAAGCTGTCCCCAAAAATGCTCCGTGAAGGCACAGAGAACATCGAGCGGGCGTTTGGGGCTCGTGATCCTTGCGGCTCGAATCCAGGTCAATTTGAGGCAAAAAGGGAGCTGTTTGGGGCTTTGCTGCTTCGCCGGGGAAGTTCCCGCTGCGGCGCTGAAGGACGCCTCTTCCTCCCAGCGCCCTGAGCAGGATTCGTCCACCTCGCCCCGGAAAGTCCCCTGGGAAACTTGCAGCTGAAGCATCTGAGCTTTGGCGCAGACGTCGAAGCCAGCAGCGAGGCAGGAGACTTTCCTGTTATGCAGGGAGTCCCGGCTCGGTGGCTTGCACCCGAAAGGAGGGTTGTTGGGGCCTCCCGCGAGGCGGGTCGGGCTCGGAAAGCCGGGGGTCGGGATCTTTGGGATCCGCAACGGCAGCCCGAGGCTTTGTGTTTGTTTTTTTGCACGTGAATTAGCAAGCGTTGGGAAAATTGTCCCCGTGTAATCAAAATTTCCAGTTTCTCGGAGAGATAAGAGCAGAAATGCAGCAGGTGTCTTTTACTAAAGTGGCTCCTTTATTTTTTTTTCTTTTTTTTTCTTTTTCTTCCCTCCAGGGGAGCTGATAACCCGCCTTTGCCGCCATCCCCAGGGCTGCTCGTTCGCCCCGGCTTCGCAGGAGCACCGCGGGTTGAAGCCCGCCGAAAAGAAAGGGTTGAAGCCCGCCGAGAAGGGCCGGAGCCCGGGGCGCGAGAGCTGAAACAGCACGGACGGTCCTCTCGAAGGAGGAAAAACACTTAACAGCCTTTCGGCGGAAAGGCAAAGCGGGGGGATTTCTCCTTCGAGCTGACACCGGTGTCGACGCGTCGGTGTTTCCCTGAAGTTCAAAAAAGTCACCTTCGGACCTGTTGCGTGCCGGAGTCCAGCCCCGGTTTTGGTGTTAGCTTTTTTGGAGGGGTTAACCGTTTTCTCCTGCTTTTGCCTCAACCCATCGTCGCACAAAAACGCTCCAGGGCCGAGGGTTTAGCACGGCCGGCCGCGGCAC